TTTGTTGGCAAATACATCACATGTAATCAGGCTTTACTGCCTGTCTCTTTCAGAACATGGTATATATTAACATTTTTTAAACGGGTTTTGTGGGGATTATTTCACCTTTTTTTGTCCTGTCAAGAACTGGGGATACCTGTATCTAATGTGAGGTTTTAATCTGGAATGTGAAGTGGAGGGAGACGTTTCACATCCCTCAGTCTGGAGTACATTTAGTTATCAGGAAGTCTGAAGTGTCTTCACAGCACGCTGCAAAGGATAGTTTGATCCATGGGGCTAACACACTGTGGAGTCAGCCTGAGCTGCCTGACAGAGGCACAACACAGGTCCTCCCCTTTCCCCAAATCACACAGCAGCAGCACCCAGCTCAGGGCTGTGTTTTCAGAGACCACCCAACAGAAACGGTTTGCTTGCACTACCTCTTCTCCTGTTAAAGTTTTGTACCATCTCTATGGTGGTGACAGCATGAGAAAGTAAAAGAGTACTGAAGGTCATTTCAGCTGCTTTTAGCATGATTTTAACAGAAGGAAACAAGGAGAACAGTAAACACTACATGACCAGCCCATTCTTTTCAAAGCTGGCAAGTGCTTAGTGAAGCATCAGCTCACTGCCTCGAGGCACAACTCGAGGCTCTTTGCCCAAAGTACTGATGATGGGCATGGGAAGAAAGGGCCAGCCAAAGAACTTGAAAACCTGAGATGAAGGAGGTATTTGGACAAGTAGGGCTGGAAGCAGCCAGAGGTGTGGTGGGAGCCTGAGCAGGGACAGAAAGGGCCCCACTTCAGTCTCCATCTGGACTCTGGAGCAAGGAAGGAGAGAAGGAAATCTATGGAAGTTTCTGTGACGTTAGTTCAGGCAGCCATAGGAATATGCCAAACCTAATGCCTGTTATCTCCCCCATCTGTCTCCCTGTGGCCTCTTCAGGCTCAATTTGTTTAAATGAGAGGTGGATGGAGCTTTGTTTGCAGCACAGAGGTCTAGCCTGTGTTTTGTTGCGGAGCAGTTCAGATGCCTTTGGGGCAATTTAGCGAATGAAATGTTTGCCTCTTGGTCACTCACTGGCAGGAAATGGCTGATCCAGCACTAGTGGTTGCTGTCAAAAATCTTGCCAATAAAAACAGAGGAGTGAGGTAGCTGGTTGAAAACAGAGATAGGCCCAAGCGAGCAGCTGGATCTATACATCATGTGAGCCTCCATCACTGCAGTGGGACTACGCAGATGCCAGATGCTAAGCAAAGCCCTCTGGCCATAAAATAGAGGGATACAGATGTGTTTTCCACCAGCTTCTGACACTCAGCCTGCTTCAGGTTTCTTCTTCTATAAGTTGCTGAATTAGTCTCTTCACAGGTAGTAGAAGGACATTTCTTTGGCCAAAACCTGTAGCTCTAATTGGCTCAGTATTCCTTTCTTTCCAGGCTTGCAGCAGTTGCAGTCATGGCAGGTCTATCAAGTGTTTTCTGTCCGCTGAGGGATAGGCAGGTGAAGGGTCTGGCTCTCAATTCATCTGGCTTGTCATTTTTATCAGGCCGTGTCCTGCCCCCTTGGTCATTACAGGATAAGAAAGGCATTTTACTGTATTTTCTCAACCTTTAGCTTGTCCGTCATTCCATGAGCAGGCTGCAGCAGAGAAAGAGATAAACTGAGGGGGAAGGGTTGGTTCAGGCCATTAGAGCCTCTGTGGTAAGAAAAGAGACAGAAGGTACGGCTGCTTTAGAGAGGGATGTTAGAAGGTCAGGAAGAGAGGGGTGATGACAGGGCTCTGAGTCCAGGGAAAACAGAGCTGCAAAGTTTACATAGGAACCCATGGGAGAAGGCTGTGGGCAACTGCCTGTTTTGCTTGTCTTTAAAGGCAGCTCTGAAAGGGAGTGGGGGAAACATCCAAGCACAGCGTAGACAGGGGAAGAAGAGGGGGTCTCCTGTGGGCTGGTGTGAGAAGGGCAGACAGACCATCTCTGGGGCATTATGGGATGTGGCTGTTGCCAGATGTGCCTGCAGAAGAAATCGTAAGGTCCAGCCATGTGTAACACCAAAATGGGAAGCTCCTAGTACAGTAACAGAGAAAGTATCAGCTCTTGAAGGGAAAATTACGCTACTGGGCATTCAGCACGTTGGGATAAAGCCTGCCTGCTGGTGCTGGGGCTCGGCAGCCAGGCTGCTGGCAAACTCCCTCCCTGCTAGTGTAAAAATAAGCGCCTCAGCCTGTTGGATAAGCCTTCCTCGCAAAAATAAACACGGCAGCTCCGCCAGCCCGCTGGGAACGCTAGCTGGGGCCCTCCATGCGCTTTGGGGGCACCTCTTCAGCGCTGGGTACTCCCGGGCCGGCAACACCAACCCTCGCTAGGTGCCACATCTCCGTAGCAGCCCAAACCACCCCAACGCTTTCTGAGCAGCGGCAGGAGAAGGCAGCAGAGCATGAGAAAGGGGTTAGCTGCGCCATCATCATCTCCTCCTCCTCCTCCTCCCTCAGGTGAGCGGCGGAGGCCGCGCCCCCGCCCCTCGCCCCGCCCCTCGCCCCGCCCCTCTCGGCCGTGCCGTGGTGCGGAGGTGCCCCCTGCTGGACTCCGCTGACACCAACCACACCATGGGACTACAAAACGGGTTGGAAAAGACCTTGAGGAGCGTCAAAACCAACCGTTACCGGGTGCGGGGGGTGAGAAGGGAGAACGGCCGGTTGCAGGTTTGGATACGGCGCGGGGGAAACACCCCATTCCAGTGCTCTGCCCACTCTCAACGTAAAGGTTCTTCATGTTGAGGTGAAACTTCTTTTGTTTTAGTTTATGGGCATCGCTCCTTGTCCTGTTGCTGGGTACCACTGAAAAGAGTCTGGCACCCTTCTGCCGTCACCTGCCTTTGAGATATTTATATTCACTAATGAGATCCCCTCTCAGTCTTTTCTTCTCCAGACTAAACAGGCCCAGCTCTCGCAATCTCTCCTCATAAGAGAGATGTTCCAGATCCCTGATCATCCTTGTGGCCCTCCGCTGAGCCCTCTCCAATAGCTCCTTGTCTGTCTTGTACTGAGGAACCCAGAAATGGACACAGTAACTCCAGAGGTGACCTCACTAGGGTCCAGAAGAGGGGAAGGATCACCTCCCTCAATCTGCAGGACACACTCCTCCCAGTGCACTCCAGGATACAACCCAAACAGCTGGTAAGTGGTTGTATTGTTAAAAGGCTGCAAATGTATATTAGCCCAGTGTCCATACAGAAATCACAGTAAATCAATGATTTTCTGTGCCAGGAGCGACCACCGTGGTGGATCACTGAAAAATGCTCAAGACCAGGTTCTTGCCTTTGTCATTCACTTTAGAAAATCTTTACCTCTCTCTCTGACTGTATTTTTCATTGGCAGCCAAGGGACATGAGGGTTGGAGGTCCTCGGGCTGTAAGTGGAAGCACAACTAGTTGCAAAGGTGTACTTCAAAGTAGCTGTAATTCACTCCTTTGTGCTAGCAGAAGCAGGTTTGAAGCCCAGCTCTGCAAAGAACTAAATACTTTCAGTAATGTCTCCAATGCCAGCATGAATTTTGCCAGAGCAGGAGGAGCTGCAAACGCTTCTGAGAAATCAGAGGTCCTGGCAAGTTGAGGAAATTATGTAAAACAAACAGTAGATAATTCAGTTAAGGCAAAGGCACTTGAGGAGTAACCATCTGTACAAATGCAGAACCCTGCAATACCAGTGCTTTTACAGCTCTGCAGAAAGGGCTCTGTGAGTTAAAGTGTGCCAGAAATGAATTAAGGTTGGCGTTCATGGCAATGAAAGCATAAATCCAATTACACTGTTTGTGTAATCGGTGTCTAAAGTCATACGTGTTAAACCTGCTGTATCACGGGAGCCAGGAGATCTTTCATGGAGGTGAAATGAAGGTTTTGCTTTACGCAGATCTGGAAGGGCCTCAGATGAATTCAGTGTCAAGATTTCTGTCCCATGCCGCAGGAAAAGAGGGAGCCCCTGGCACACAGCCCATCAGGCAGCAAGAAAAAGGACCAGATTTCTAGAAAACTTTATGATCTGTGGGAAAAGATCAGCCTTGTTTGGACTGGAGAAGAGAAGGCTCAGGAAAGACCTTGGAGCAGCCTTCCACTGCCTAAAGGGGGACTACAGGAAAGTTGCAGAGAGGCTTTTTACAAGCACATGTAGTGACAGGACAAGGGGAATGGTTCTAAACTGAAAGATGGTAGATCTAGGTTAGACATTAGGAATAAATTCTTTGCTATAAGGGTAGTGAGACACTGGCACAGGTTACCCAGAGAAGCTGTGGCTGCTCCATTCCTGGCAGTGTTTGAGGCCAAGCTGGACACGCCTTTGAGCAACCAGGTCTAGTGGAAGGTGTTTCTGCCCATGGCGGGGGGCTGGAAGTGTATGATTTTTAAGGTCCCTTCCAACACAAACTATTCTATGATTCTATGAAAAAACACCACAAGGCTTGGATTTGCATAGAAAAGACTGTGCAAAGGCAGGGCAGCAGCTGGCAGGGGTAAAAAAGTTGCAATGAAGAGGCTTCATATGGGCACTGTGGGCAGAGTAAGTTTTAACCATCCGAAATTGAGACCAGGCTACATTCTGGGACACCTTTGTATCCCTGAGGCCTGCACCACACAGTTGCCCTCACAAAACCAAGCCCCCAAACTTTGCTTTTGAGAGTAAGTTAGTGAGTAAGTTAGATAAACCCAGGCCTAAGCCTTTCGGTCACTCCTGCCCAGATCCCTCCTCATCAGTGTTTCTTCACACGTCTCCCACCTCGGGGCTGCTTGCCCCCTTTCCCCTCTTTCCTCTGCCGTGTCAAGCCCCACCGCCTTGGCCCTGTTTCCAACACTGGTTCCGCGACACTCGCCATCTACAGCTCCTCTCACAGCTCTCCCCAAGCCTCCAACCCGACCCTCGGGCACCCCGGCATGGAGCTGCTCAGTCCTCTGCCGGGACACCCCCCTCCCCGCCCAAGCTCCGCCCGCCCCAGTCCCGCCCCGCCGCTCCCCGCGCCTCGCTGGGAGCTGTAGTCCGGGAACTACGAGCCCCGGCGTGCCCCGCCACCGGCCCTGGGGCCGGGTGGAGCGGCGCAGCATGGCGCTGCGGGGCTGCCTGCGGGCCGGGCTGGGGCTACTGCGCGCTGCGGGGCCTCGGGGGCCGCCCGCCCGCGGGCGCTGCGCCGGGGACCGGGTGAGCGGCGGCGCCGGGAGCGATAGGCCGGGCCCGGCGCCCGCGTCCTTGCTGTGGGCCGGGAAGGGCGCCGGGTGCAGGGAGGGGGAGAGGAGAGGAGAGGAAAGGAAAGGGCTGCCTGCGTTGGGTGACTGCCCCCTCCGCTCGCCTTGCAGCCGCCGGCCTTTGGGTTCCTGTTCGACGTGGATGGGGTGCTGGTGCGGGGCAGCCAGGTGGTGCCCGCCGCCCGCCGGGCCTTCCAGAGGCTGGCAGACAGCAGCGGGCGGCTCCGGGTACCCGTCGTCTTCCTGACCAACGCCGGCAACTGCCTGAGATCGGCCAGGGCCCAAGAGCTGTCCCATGCGCTGGGGCTGCAGGTAACAGCGGCGGGCCGGGGGGGCTCCTCCGGCAGGTCACAGGGACCTCACGGCGCTGGGAAGCGGCTTCTTCACCGCTCTCTCGTTCGACTGTCCCGGCCTTGGAGGGGAGCACCGGGAGGAGTAGGGAGCTCCCCAGGAGGGGTGAAGGGCTAGGAGTGGCGGCACCACCGAGCGATCAGCCTGTCTTGGTCCGAGAGGTGGAGGGAGGCCGGTAGCAGCGCGGGAAGGGGAAGGGGAAGCGACCCGACCGCAGTAGAAGGGGGGAAATCTTCCCAGCAGATCCCCCATCACCCTCTCCTCCCTCCTGCAGGTGTCTCCGGAGCAGGTGATCCTGTCCCATAGCCCTCTGCGCCTCTTCAGCCAGTTCCACCACAAGTGCATGCTGGTGGCTGGACAGGGGCCCGTGGAGGAGAACGCTCAGGAGTATCCTTTGCTGTTCGTGCCTTGGGGTGCCCTGTGTGTCCTGCTGCTGCTTCCACCCTGGCCCTGGTACTTGCTCCATCAGCTTTTAGAAGCACAAGGAGACAGAGGAGTCACAGTCTTACAGGAAGCACCCTCAAGGAGAGGCCTGAATGCAGGCAGTAACTGTTGATCTCCGTCTTGGTCACCTCCTAGCTGTCCTTGGTCGGTGTTTGGCTTCCCACACTGATGACCTGGCCTGATTGCTGTTCCTGTTGGTGGGATGTCACTGTAAGGACTTTATCAGCTTTGGGCCTTGCTCACTTTTGAGATAAAATTGTGCTCCTCCCATTCGTTCATAGCAAAGTGCATTAGAGATCACTCCCAACTCTCCCACAGCTAAGGCCTTCCCCCAGGAATCTGACAAGCACTTGAAGGAACTCAAGTATCTTTACGATCAGTGTGCCAATCCCAGATGCATACTGCCTGGCTGAGGCTAGGGCACAGCAACTCTGACTAACCCCATGTCTTCAAGGAGGTTAGAACTGCCTGTATGGTTTGCGACATCTCAGCCTGTGCACACAGAGTCACACCCTGTCCTTAACATTTAACTTCCTTTGGTGCAAAACCTTGGCCTGTCTCAGTTTGCCAAGGTCAGTAGGGTGAGCTGAGGGCGAGGAGTTCTGTGAGTAAATGCAACTCATCCCTCCCTTGTGTAGTTTCATCAGCACAGACCATTTTCTTTTCCCCAGCTGAGCTGATCAGAGCTTCAGAGATTCTGCTTCTAGCCAAGAAGCCTGACCGGTCTCCTGCACCGCACCAGTATGAGAACCCCGGCCTTAAAAAGCTCCCAAAACACATCCACCTCTGCTCTTTGTCTAATTCCAGGGATGGCTGATCACAAACTAAATCACCCCAGTCTGGGTGTTTTTGTAACCTTTAGGGCCACCTGTAGGTTGAAGCGCAGCATACAGTTTGACTGAAGGCCACAAGGTTATGCTTTACCAGGTTAAATAACTCCTCTATTACTAGGACTCGTATTCCTTAATCCTGTAAATGCTTTTGCCATTAACTTAAAAAACCTCAGTCACTTAAGAAGAACCCAAAAGCTCAAAAAAAAACCCCAAAACCAGTCTTCACAACTTTCCTTAATGATCTGAAATAGGCTGGGGTTCAAGCATGTGGTCACCATAGAGGCACTCAGAAAGGCATATCCCCTGCTAGACATGGTGGATCAGAGCCGGAGGCCAAAAGAGCTGGTAATTTCTTGATGCATCAATAGAGACGGTGGTCTGCTGTGGAGGTGCTCACAGTGCATAGCATGGGGTGGAGAAGCTGCAAAGGCTCAGAGTGACTGGCTGCTAGTGACTTACTTAAGCAAGAGCCTAGGACTTAATGCTGAGCAGCCAGTGTCTCTCTGCTTTTTCAGGTGTTGTCTCCTGCAGGAAGGGCAGTGGCTTTCCCCTCTCCTTTGTTATGCCATACTTGTCTTTCATTCCTCTTCCTTGCAGTAAGTTTGGTTTGGTTGGCATCTCCAGCTCTAGGACAGGAATGCAAAATCTGCGAAATCTAATCTGGGATAGGGGGGTGGTGAAAGTCTTTCTTTGGGATTCCAGGTGGCCTTGTCCTTCCTCTTTATGTGGCTGCCTTGGCAGGTTCAAAGGAAGCATTTATAGTTTGTTTTGGAGATGGCATTAGGTTTTGCATTACTAACCTAGCCTTGTTTTTTTTTTTCCTGGCAGCCTCCTCCAACCACTGGCTTCCCCACTATAGAAGGTAAGCAGTAGCCTTTGTTTACGTACGAACAGCATGCAGAAATAATAGCAAGGCAAAGCCAGCTGGGAGGGGAGCTGTCAGTTCATTTGTATCCACAAGCAACTTATTCAGACGATAGAGTCAGGAGGCAGCATCACTGCCCTTGTGCAGCATGAAGCACAAGCTTGATAAGAGCAAAGCCAGCTTTTCCCTGTGCCATGCTCCAGTATCTGGGACCACTGGTGCATATGGTGCAGTAACATACGACTGGAGCTCTAGCACCAGACATGTTCCAGTGGTAGCTGTATTAGCCAGCACATCCCAGCAAAGGAGTGGTTTTGCTAGCAGATGGCTTTAGTAGTGGGTCCTATACGTGGGTGCTGTGATTTTCCAAGCATCTCTTGAAATCTTCCAGGGGTGATTCTCTTTGGTGAGCCAGTGAGGTGGGAGACAAGCCTGCAACTTATTACTGATGTACTCCTGAGCAACGGCAACCCTGATTCAGAGCTTCAGGATATACCATATCCTCATCTGCCTGTCCTTGCCTGCAACATGGATCTCCTGTGGATGGCTGAAGCCAAGATGCCCAGGTGAAAAGCATTTGTTTTAGCCTGTTTCATACATCTCTCCTGCAGATGATCTTTCTTACTACATTTTTTAGCATTTGACTGGTTTAGAGTTTGACTGTATGGCATTATTAGCAGCAGAGATATGAAAACTGCCTGAGAAACAAAGAGTTAAGTTTCAAGAAGCAAAATCCAGGCCACTGCATGTGGAGGTGTGTGTGGGTAGATAACATGACCAGTTTAGGCAGTAGCCTGGCTACAGCAGCTGGTCCTCCTTACTGAGGGCTGTTCACTACTTCAGTGGTGTAACTGGAGATACTGATGACCTCCTTTCTGGAGCAGGATTGGACATGGCACTTTCCTTCTCTGCTTAGAGAACATCTACAAGAAAGTGACAGGCCGGGAATTGAAGTATGAGGCCTTGATTGGCAAACCCAGCACAGTCACCTACCGCTATGCTGCATACTTGATACAAGAGCAGGCAGAGAAACAGGGCTGGAAGGCTCCCATCCGACGCCTCTATGCAGTTGGGTAAGAGACTGTTTTCCCTGCTGTTTTCCTTAGGGAGGTGCTTACTGACCCCTCAAGTGTTTTTTATGCCAAAATGCCTATGGTGCCTCTGGAGAGTCACATCCTGGAACAGAGGCTCGATAGATTTTTGTACTCTACGCTTTTAATAAGTTGAAGGGCCCTGTCAGCCTAGCAGAGCTGTTTACTGTAGGGTGCAGAGTGCATGTGGTATGACTGGATTTAAGGAAAAGTTAAGAGACCAGACGCAGAATCATTAGCTGTAGTTAAAACCAAACACTTCGGGATCATAGGAAATATATTACAGTAATGGCTGAAACTGCTGTGGGTGCTTTGGACATGTCTTTTGCCCTTTGAAAAATGTTTATGAAGCAGGTGGCCTTCACCACAGCTGGACAGGACACACCAGTAGGTGGACTCCCTAGCCCAGTTTGGGTGATTCTCTTGACATTACCAAATATCTTGCGACCCTTCCTCCTTTGGTGCTGCCTTAATCCTAGTCTGCCAGAGCCTGAAACTGATGCATGGCCTAGTTTCTCATTTCTGTTTCACACTGTGACCTTATCCAGAGATAACCCTATGTCTGATGTCTATGGGGCAAACCTCTACAACAACTACCTCAAGTCAGCTCACCAGAACCAGGTCCAAGCTGGAGTGAAGAGGAGCCTGCAGACAGCCAGTCCCCAAACTGAGGATCACCTCAAGCTGAGGAAGGACTGCAACAATTCAGTGGAGAGTTGTGAGTCGATTCTGGTCTGCACTGGGGTCTACCGCCACAATGTCGATGTCCCTACTAAAACAAAAGAGTGCACGATGGAGTCAGTGTTCCATGGCCATCGGGACTTCTGCTTTGACCCCAGCCTGGTAGAGGCATCTCACATAGTGCAGGATGTGAATGATGCTGTGCAGCTTGCTTTCAAGAAAGAGAACTGGAGCTAGGGTTAAGACAGGTGTGACTGAAGATCTGCTGTCAGGGATTTTATGTACTGAAAAGAGAAGAAGGGAGGAATGAGGAGAGACTTGGGGTGATCTTCTAATCTAGGCAATATGAAAGAAAACTCCCTGCCTCAGCACTAAAAGCCCCATGCTTTTATTGATAATTTATCTGCAATCCTGCCAGGTGCCAGCAGGCTTTCAACTGTGAACATACATTGCTGCCATCAGTAATTGAGCCATAATGGAAACAGGGTATAAGAAGGTGGCTTGTCCCAGTAATCCCAGTTTTGTTCAGCCATCAGAGTTCTTTCTTTACCACCCTTTGTGCATGAAGATCAGGCAAGCCCACCCTCCTCACAGTGTGTTCGAGGCTGAAGCTTTTCCCTGTGTGAGGAGCCACCATCAGCCAATGTACCATTCGTACAATGTACTATTCGTCCAGTCTGTGACGTGAGCACACCAGAAGCTGTGTTGTGGCTCTGTGCCAAGAGAAGGCTTTAAGTCTTACTATTCTCCTTGTGAAGAATAAGTGCCTGTGGACTTTTAACAAATTCTGTTTGCTTGGGGATTTGCCACTGCATCACTGTCGGTCTGAAACAAAGTCCCATTTTGCAGTCCACTGGCAGCTATGGAGAGGCACAGCCCCTCAAAGGAAGCTGCAGTAGCCAGAGCAACTTTGCTGCAGTGCTGAGGGAAAAGTTATATTGTTCCTTCCCCCCTATTTAGTATTCTGTGAACACTTCTGCCTTTTCACATCCCACTAGGGAGCCAGCAGCCTGCTCTCAATAGAAGAGGAAACCACCAGAGTCTGAATTTCCAGAAGTGTCTTTGCCCAGAACTCAGTGCTGCAGCAAGAGGCTGTTTGGGCACCCATCCTGACCCAAACTTTGCAAGGAACATCCCCTTTCTCCAGCTGGCACAGCACCCAAAGAGGGGCTCTTACTTGGAACAAGGGCCAACCGTGAAGAGTCACAGCCCACCTTTGCTCCTTCCTTACACGCAAGGATTGAGGAAGAGATCATCATACCAGGATGGTACCTAAGCCCTGAATTCCCAGTCTTCATCTTTAAGAATAAATATGTCTCCGTCCTTCATTTCCTTTCTTCCTCTCTTCTCTCATGTGGTTTGCAGCTCAGGGATACCCCATACAGCCTGATCCCTGTTTCCTCCTCTTACTTTAACATGCAGGTAGAGTTCCCCTAACATAAATAAGCACCTGGGACTTGCCTGCCTAGGAGCATTTTCATATCACGCACTGTCTGCTGCTTCTGTTCTAGTTCAGACTATGCAGAGAAAGATCAAGATCTGTGTGTCCTTAGACAGTCCAAAGAACCTAAGCAAGGATTGCTTGAAAAAACTCCATGTTTTGGAGTTGGCTCAGCAAGGAGTGTCTTAATTCCAGAGGAGCACTGTGATTTTAGAAGCATAAATCAGTCTGTGTATATGATGGAAAGCCTTTGGAGGCAACACAGCTGAGTTGGTGTTCCTAGTTATACTCTCCTCACAGCACACAGAGATCAGAAATAAGTCTTTGCCTCCTCTTCCCTCCCTCCTGCTTTACCAGGCACCTCCATAGACATGGTACAAACAAGATGTTTGAGCTGTTCTTAATTCAGATCTCAGCATCCATTCACACTGACATTTTGCTTCAGTAGCTCTGTCCCCTTGATACTGATGTGCCTCCCTAGGAAGCTCACACTGCAGGGAATCTGTTCTTATGTTATGCCAGGCTTTGCACATGGAGGGAACCGAATGTTCTGTCAGTGACCCAGGTAAAGAGGTCCTTCTCAGTGGCTTCTTTCTCTATACTTTATTTTCTGAATAGGAGCAGAAAAAAACCTCTCTGGGTGAGTTTCTCTCCTGTGAAATCTATCGTAGGAAGCACTCTCTTTCTCTCTTAGTACTAGCTGGGTCCTTGTTGGTCTTACCAGGACAAAAATCGCTTGGCTGCTTCTAAAAACAGCTGTAATGTGAGGAGCACAATCTTAGTTTTGAATCCTCTGCCTTTCTCTGGAGAGAAAAAGAAATTACCATTTCGTCTGCTTGCAGAAGACAAGGGCTTGTCTCCAGTTTCCAGAAGAGTTAAGTACAAGGAAGGATTTTATATATAGGGAAAGTCCTTTAGCTTTCAGCATATCACAGTCAAAATTGTGCTGTGGACCCAGTGTGCAAGACCTTAAACTGGAAGTCAAACCCCCATTTATGCATAAACTAGGTCCAGTGTCCCTCAGTGGTGCCATCCAGCACCAGCACAGAAAGAGGAACATTCACCTTCCTTGCAGTATTTGCTAACTTTCATGGGATTAATGAATGCTCTAGATCATGGAAATGGTCTTACAGGCCATGATTACATAGACCTCAGAGAGCTGGTTGCTGGCAGTTGCTGCTAGCCACAGCTTCAATTTAGGAGGTACTTATCTGCAGAAATACTAGTATCTGTTCATCTGTGTGTGCAGAGCTCATTTTTACTTATTGAGACTCTCGTGCCAGTTACTGAAAACCAGGGTGCTGCTGAACCAATGTTTCTTGAGGAGCGTAGCTGCCAAATCAGCTATCCCAAATGGAGCGAGGTGCACTGGCTGCTTCTTCAGTGTTTGGCAGTAGCTTTGTAGAAGGAATGTGCAGAAGAATTGTGAGAAATCACAAGCAGTTTGTAAATTCGTATCAGCATACGCACCACATCTCAGCCAGAAATGAGGTAGGTTGCAATAGGAAGGAGATAGCACCTCCTGCAAGAAAGAAAGAGGTTTGCATTTGCACAGAGCGAGCCAGGCATCTCTGTCTTTGGGATGGCAGTGGAGGTGAACTGACTGATGTAAAGTGCTTCAAATTCCAAATTATGCTTCAAATTCCAAATCTGCTTTTAGCTGCAGAATTTTTTTCACCATGTTAGTGTTGAAACAGTGCTCTGGGAGTCTTAAAAATGTGTAGGAGGAATTTCAGTGATACAGAATTTAAGAAATGCTTTGCTTGCAAGTTGAAATTGGACAGAAGGGAGGAGGAGGAGGAATCTAGAAAAATCCTGTACCCTTCCCCCAGTTCTTACCAAGTAAGGTTGCATAAAAGGCTCTGCTGTTCATCTATGCACTACTAAATCAGATGGGCTGCCCTTGGTCTGAGCAACACTGAGACCTTTCCCCTCTTCTCCTGCTCAGCTTGTTAGAGCAGTGCATTTCTTCCAAGTCACTGCCTAGGAATTGCTTGGACACTGTGAACGGAGTAGGAAGTTGGTTCTCTGCCTGCTGTTGGTACTGGCTTGATTGTGGAAGAATTCTACAACCAAAGTGCTTGCCAGGTCTCCTCTGTTCTGCAAGTTTTGTGCTAGAGTGCTGTGCAGGCTTCTAGGTTACTTGCGGTTCATTTATGGACATCTGTAGTTGCTAGAATTCAGTGAAGTCCTTTTTCCTGGGATTGCAGCTTTCTGGGATTAGCTTCAAGTGTGGCTGCAATGTAACTTTTCCTTTGTCTCGTGTGTTGCACAGAAGTGGTGTTTCTGAAGCTGTATTTCCCTCACTGAAGCAGCATACTTGTGTGCAGATTATGGGACCAAGCAGGAGAAGGGTCTTCACTTGCTGACCCAATATCTTAGTGTTCATATGGTTCACTGCCCTATACAACAGATGTGGTGAAGACCTGATCCTAACAACCCCATCTTCCACAGACGGATAGGTGTTAGTCAAGCCTGAAGGGAATATGCAGCGAGGTAAGGCAACTGAGAATAGCAGGGAGGAACTGGAGGAGGGATAGACCTTGTTTTGGATCTGAAGCGGGGAGCTTTTATGTCATGCAGTATCATGGTGGCCAGAGAGGTCAATTCCTATATTCCAGAGGACACATGCAACTACTAGTGTGGCATTCAGGGAGTCATATAACACTACTGTCCCTTTTCTTCCAGTCTTACTGATGGTGTGTCTTTTTCTCTCTAATAAATGGGTAATGTTTTGGATTATATCACACACACTGTAGCAGAGTGATTACATATCATACAGAGAAATCACAAGCTGTGATTATTTTAGATTTCGTATTAATTTTAACCTAGTTCCAGAGTTGCTCTTTTGATCTGGTATATCTATATATATAATAATAAAAGATGTTTTCTTTGAAATAAATTTTAACTTGCTGTGTGACCATTTTATGAGTATTTATCCTGGTCTTTTCCACATCCTTGCCCTAGAAGATTATCAGGACAAATTCTGTCTTTCATTCTGTTCATCAAGCAATTTTTAGGGAACCACCCTGAAAGATACCCTTACAGCAATTCTTTTGGCTGAGCCAAACTGTAATTCCTTGTAAACTCTGCACCTGCCATAGTTAGGTGAGATGAGTGCAACTTTGACCATTCCTACTCTGTGGCGTGGGGCTGGGGGGGGGGGGGCCCAAGACAGGACACATCACATGCTACAGTGCCCCGATTGACTGCTTACAGGAAAGACTAGTTTTGGGATGCCACCTGTGTATGAGATGCTTTCAGGGTAGGCATTTACTTGTGACCTGACCTAAGCAAGCCACAAGCTAGATGCCATCACCTTAATCTCCTGTTGCAGATAAAGAACGAGCCTAAGGGCATATGGAAAGCCATCTGTACCACTAGAAGCTTGCTTGGCTCTATGTTAAATAAGCCTTTTGTGATCATAAAAGAAACAACTCATTTGACAAAAGCCGTGCCCTGGTACCTTCTAAACAAGGGGAGTGGAGTTAGGGGGAGAGACACCAACTGGACAAGAATTCCCATTCTCAGCAGAGAGAGGAATTGAATTGTATTCTGCATCATGGAGAAGTGGCCTATGTCCCTGACCTCTAGTAAATAATAACAAGCATTATTAACCAGCCTTCTTGTATCCAGTACTCCACTAGCTGTAGCACTCGTCTTAAGATAGGGCTTATCAAGGTTTAGTTAGGCAGAAAGATCAAAACCTGAACCTCTCAGATGCATGTTTTAATCTCTACACTATTGTCAAAGCAAAAGGGCAGCCTAGGGTTAAGGTGTCCCTTGTAGGTGACAGCCTTAGCTGGAAGCTAGAGTAGCACACAAATCCTTAACCAACATGAGGAGCGGAGTTAAACATTGGCATCATGGAACACTGAAGAAGGAATGACTTGAAAAAGAGGGACCGAGAACCCTGTTCAGGTTGGAGTTTGCTCCCAGGGGGATGGCATGAGAGTTGCCTACCAGAGTAAGCCCCAATAAGTGCCTAATCTATGGGTTCTGGTGGGCCTAGAACAAAAGCTAGCAGTTACCTGCTCACCCTGCTATAGGGCTTGGCCCTTCAGAGGTGTGCCCAAACCTTTCTTTTACCAAATTTACCTAACCTGAATTTTAAACACACAAGTCTTACGGATTTTTGCTGTCACACAGTCAATTTGATGAAAATTATGCACTTAAAGGCCTTTATAGATTCAATCTCAAACAGTTTAAAATCACACCAGCAAGACAGCTGCATCTTCTTAAGGAACCAAACTGTTCCATCAAGGAAGCACTTTTTTCTCATTCACTGTAATAAACCTGCTTCTCCCTTTCAGTCAGTTCAGCTGCTACGAACTTTCTCCTCAAGGTCAGTTCCCATACACACTGTGTGCTAATACTGAGCCAGTACAAAATGCTAAGAGCAAACCCCGAATCATCACCGCTCTACAAGCCCTTACCCTGATACAAGCACAAAAAGAAACAATCTCTTTGCATTTTATGCTGGTCTTGAAAGCTCTTTCAGCTGAAATCTAATTACAAGCAATAGCTTGTTACTTTTATACCCTTTTGAAGAGTATCTTCATTCCCCAAACCGTAATACTGGATCAGCAGTTCAGTTACAAAGACTGCATTCAGAGGCACACACAAACTGAGGCCTCTTTCAATATTGGTGCTGGCCAGGTGAAACTCTTGTGTGCCTGCCTGTAACTTCAACCCTGCCTGTTTGAATGGGTTAGATAAGGGCAGTACAAAGCGTGTGTCAGAGAATCCCAGAGCCTTCCCGTTCCCACACAAAAGGCATTTTAAGTACGGTTGGAGCAGATTATGCTCTAACTCACTGAGATCAGCTTTGCCTCCTTCCCTTCCACTGCTGCCAGTTTCTGACAGCTTACTGCAGGGTATAATTAGGGATTTAGTTTCTAGTCTTCCAGGCATCTATTTGCCTCTTTTTTCCCCCCTTTCCCCAAGAAACTGAGTCATTATTATGTCTCCTTTTGAGCTCTACTCTTAAGAAAGTGTTGCCTTTCCCCCAGGAGGGGCATTTTTGATGGCAAACTACTTATTTCCAATAGTATTGTAAACTAGAGTGGTAGCATTTTAGATATTCAGTGTGACTATTTCACAAATCTCCTATTGTCTCCTGTTTGTCTTTAAATATATGTATACACACACATATCTGTGCATACACATAAATACATACAGAAGCCAAAAACATGGGAGCTGCTGAAGAGTAGAAGCTATTTATAGTTCAGCCTTTTAATGTTTTAACAGTAATGGTTAAGCACTAACACTTCCAAGGACCGCACATTGCATTAAATAACTGTATCACTTGGGAGGCATCGACTTGTCATATTGCATCCTACAGTGTGCTACAAAAAGCTCTTCAGTGCTTTCTCAAGTAGAAGACATTTCTCCCCTCACTCCCATTTTAAGGTACAGGCACGATTTCTGCTTCCTTCCCCACAAATAAGCTCTTTCCTTATTCTCACCTGTTTGTTTGGGTAGTGTTTGCCCTACTGGAACCCATGCCTATCCCAAGGAAGGCCCTTCAACTCCCACTTTCCTTCCCAATACTCCCCCATCCCTGCTTATAGCCCCCCTTGCCCTGTAGCCACAGATCGCTGTTCCCACCTTCCTACCTTGGATGCAGGGACTTTCCCAGCCTCAGCAAGGATCCTTTGGTCTCTGGAGAACCATTTCCGTAAGGTTCTTCTTCCCCTATTCACACAGCCACATCGCAACAGGCCTGTATTCCCCAGCGTACAAGAGGTATAAGCCCTTTCACTAAGTACACGCTAACCCAGACAGGCCCACTTAACACACAGGGGCCTCACTTCTCCCCTTCCCCTGGCTTAAGCTCACCACATCACCTGGGTGGTGTGTCAGAGCCCATTTCCCTAGGTGGAAATGGGATGGGCTCATAGCCCACCCCTCCCAAAGCCCAGGGACCCCCATCCGATTGCACTTACCCAGCAGGTGGGGCAGATATCCCACCACATCAGTCTGGCAAGAAACACACCCAAACCTTTGTGAAATGAGCCTCTGGACTGAAAGCAGAGAATACAGGAGTGGCTATGGGCAGACAGCCAGGGCAGCTAAGTGAGCACGTCTAGCTTGTGGTGCCCAGAAAAGTACATTGCCCAGGAAACCTGGAGCACAGGAGCCAACAAGGCAAAGCCATCACCATCTGCAGCCCAGGCAGGGCAGGACCAACCCTCTCTGTGTGAGGGCTGTTGCCCTGGGCAGCCCAGATGGATGCTTGGGTTTTGATCCATGTCCTCTTGTAGGAGTGGAAAAATTTCCTTGCAGTGGAATAGGTGAATGTGGTAGGAGTAAGACTGGTTTAGCTAAACCTTGGGACTAGCTAAATTAATCATGCCAGTGACACAAGCGTTGGCTTACCCTGAGGGAGGTCAGGTGAATGTACTCACCTTAGATAAAGGCCAGGATCCTGTAAGTAATAATGTGGATTCACCCTTGATCCCACACAATTACACTGCCATTTAACCCATGGAAACCAAATGAGCAGTTATTCCAAACTCTTGCTGCCACCCTGGGCCGTCCTTAGCTGGACGACTCCTGACACCAGTCAAAGGGAGGTAGCACTGGGCCCTGTTCAAACCTGAAAGAGCATCACAGGCAGTAAACATCCTCCTTGGCCATGGCCTCAAGCCTCACACTCCAATGTAACAAAGGCCACCCAACAGAGTCCTAAGCAAGGTGTTGGTGGAGTTGTACAAAAATCGTAGTCAAAACAGTTGTTTTTTTCCTTTCACAGGCAAGTGACTTGCCTGCAAAACACACAGTGCTCAGTGGCACAACACTTTTGGCTCTGACAAAGCCCACATGCTTTGAGAGGCTGGAGAGCAAAGCAAACACGATGGGAATGTATCTGGCAAGGAAAGAGAGGCAGATCACTGCTCACTGTCTTCTTGCATCTTGAACAACCTCAAACTAAACTGCTCCGCTGAGAGCGGTGCTGCATTGCTGCTGTCACACAGAAGCTTGCTGTTTTCCAGTGCTGGGTGGCTGTGGGCTGGCACCGCACAGCAATGCAGAGGGAAGAATGTATCGCCTCTGAGGCACTGACATGGGATGTGGGCTGTGGGGAGGGGGTCCGTGTGGTCCAGGGGATTCCAGAGCTGCGACACCCGGGCCAAGTGCCTTGGACTAAATGCAGGCAGCGCTGTCCAGGGCTGTCGGGAGCCTACTGTGAGAGATCCTCAGACTGCCATGCAGTCACCTGCAGGAAAACAAATGGCAACAGCCCTTTGTGGACTCGCCTGATCTTAAACTTCTGAATCCCAGCGGTGCTTGTCACAGTGACAAGGGTAGTGGTGCTGTCTGCTGCAGCTGGGTCCCTCTGTGAGTACCTGCACAGGTGTCCTGCATGTTGTGCCTGGGGCGAAGTCTTGTGTCCTCCATCCTGGCACCAGGACAGGATACACCAGCCCATTCACCACCCTCAAGGCCAGACTGTTCTTCTGAGCACTCATGTTTCTTATATGATGACCTTCTTAAAATGAAGGGTTTCTATTTGCTAATTGAAATGTAGAATCAGGGAGAAAGGGCCCTTAGGCTGCAAAAGAGCATGTGCCTGTTCAGTCTCATCTGATGCTATGTGCTATGACAAAGTGAGTTAGAGGAAGGCAATGAACACAAATAGCACTGATGCAAGGATGAGTCTTGGCAAGCATGTCCTACCACTGAAAACACAATTGAGTGTAGCAGAAACTTATGTGTTCCCCATCCTAGCTGTGATGCAGACTGCAGCTGTGCAGGTTCTGGAAGCAGAGGTGCAGCAGCATGGGCTTTAAAGCAGAATAGCAACCAGCATGGAAGACCACGGGAACGCCTGCATATCGCTACTCCACTTTAGAAGTTGCACCACTTCAGTACTGTGCTGCCCAAGTAATGACATTAAAGCTTGCATACCCACCAGTTACCTTTTTTCCCCCTCTGTTTTGACCATGCTTTTAGAAACCTGATTTGTCTGTTTCCTCACTGCAGTCCCCATTGACAGCAATGCTTTTGCTGTGATTCCTCTTCTTCCTCTGCTTTTCTCCTTGATCATTACTATGTGTTTAAAGAAATCTTTGTGTCAACCCACCTCAAGTTCTCCTTTTCTCCTCCTCAAATATTTCTTTGTTTTGGGCCTAATCATGAACTCTTCTGGTACCACAGACAGGTTTCTCCTGTTGTTAAGAGCAGCCAGTGACATTTACTGGAATACGGCCCCTCAGGGAGCCTGCATCAACACTTATTAGACAGTTGTCACTGCTCTCTTTATGTCCTTTCCCAGTACTGAGGATCTGGGTTTCACTTAACCCCATGTGCTGATGAGCAGCATTCTCAAAAGTCATTTTGGATCTTTACCATGGAGGATAGTTAATACAGGCATCTGTGGGTACAGCTCGTTAAGTATGCTTCGTGTCACTGACAAGCAGCGCCCGGCTTATCACCAGTGGGCACAGCTAGGCATGAGGGACTGGTGATGATGAGCACCAAACCACTTGGAGATGTGCTAAGAAGTCATTAGTACTGGTGCTGTGACTGATCCAGGCAGCCAAGTGCAATTCGAGGCCATTATTAGTGGGTCAGTAAAGGCCCTGACTGGTGCTTTCAGTAGAAGTAGGAGCTTTCGGGCTATTTGTGTCAATTTAAAGTCACTCTTCTGTTACATGGACCTGTGCAAGCAAGTCCAGAGGAGGCCTCAAAGACAATCAGAAGGCTGTCTCCTATGAAGACAGTTTGGGAGAGTTGGGCTTGTTCAGCCTGGAGAAGAGAAGGCTCTGGGAAGACCTTAGAACAGCTTCCAGTGCTTAAAGAGAGCCTACAACAAATCTAGAGAGGGACTTTTTACAAGGGCAGGTAGTGACAGGACAAGGGAGAATGGCTTTAAACCGACAGAAGGTACATTTAGATTAGATATTAGCAAGAAATTCGTCCCTGTGAGGGTGCTGAGGCACTGGAACAGGTTCTCCCATGACTGGTAGTGCTCAATGCCAGGTTGGGTGGGGCGTTGAGCAAACTGGTCTAGTGGAAGGTGTCCTTTCCCATGGTAGGTGGTAGTATCCAGATGATCTTTAAGGTCCCTTCCAACCGTAACCATTCTATGGCAAGCTGGGCAGAGTCCTCAGTGCGTGGCTTGGCTCGACTCAGGAAATCGATGGGGTAAAAGCCACTTACTTTGATGTACGATTAGTTACCACAAGTACGGGCAGCTGAATGCCCAGCGCCACAGATGAGGAGCCACAACCGAGGGCTCTGCGCCAGGCCACTGGCCATTGTCTTGGTCAGCCTGGAGAGATGGGGGGAGCCTGAAGTACTTCTGATGTTCTGCAGTGGGTGCTGGGGGGCTGTGGCATGTCCATGGGTGCATCGCCCGAGCCTGGTTGGCTTCATTCAAGGGGGCTTGGGGGTGAGGACGCAGCCGGGCCTTGCCCCCCCCGAGCTGGCTCTGCCGCAGCCCCGGGGATAGGACGGGGGGCGCCTCTCCCCCTCGCTCACAGCGGAGACGCCCGCCCCGGCCCCGGCAGCTGCCGCGGTTCCTGCTCAGCGCCGCCCCCGGCCCCCCCGCAGCGCCCGCCGGCTCCCGCCGCTCGGGGTCTCCGCACCGCTGCCGCTGCCGGTGCGGCGGCGCGGGGGGCGGGCTGGGGGCGGGCCGGGGGCCGCGGCGCGGCCGTCGGGCCCGGCGCGCCGGCTCGGGGGCCGGGGAGGACCATGCACCGCGCTGCCTCCAACCAGCGCTCGGTCTCCTCCTCCTCGGGCTCCTTCCAGCTACCGCCGCCGCCGCCGCCGCCGCCGCTGCCGCACGCCGCCGACCGGCAGCCTCTCTTCCCGGGGGGCTCCAGCAGCGGCGGCAGCCGGCGGGGCTCGGGGTCGAGCTCGGGCTCAGCTCGGGCCCGCCGCACCCGCAGCCCCCGCAGCAGCACCGAGGAGGAGGAGGAGGAAGAAGAAGAGGAGGAGGAGGACAGCATCAGCATCAGCAAGCCTCTGGTGCCGCCGCTCGCCGCCCCGCAGCCCGCCGCCGCCTCGCCACTCCCTAGCAGCAGCAGCAGCAGCAGGAGCAGCGGCGGGAGCCCGGGCCGCAGCATGACGGCGGCGGAGCTGTACGGGGCGGCGGCGGGCGGCGGGGCGGCGGGCGGCGGGGCGGCGGCGGCGGCGCTGCTGGGGCCCGGCGGGGCGGCGGGCGGGCGGCGCTGGGGCTTCCAGGCGCTGTCCCTGGTGCTGCTGCTGGGACAGGGCGCGCTGCTGGACCTCTACCTGATCGCCGTCACCGACCTGTACTGGTGCAGCTGGATCGCCACCGACCTGGTGCTGGCGGCCGGCTGGGGCATCTTCTTCTGCCGCAACAGCCGGGCGCGCCGCCGAGAGCGGCCCCCGCCGCCCCCCGGGCCGCCTCCGCCGCACCCGCTGCTGCTGCACGGCCCCCCCGGCGGGCGCGGGGCCGGGGGCCGGGCGGGCGGGGTTCCCCCCCGCGGCGGCGACTTTGCCTACGCGCACCTCGCCTGGCTCATCTACTCCATCGCCTTCACGCCCAAGGCGGCGCTGATCCTGGGCACCTCCATCCTGGAGCTTATCGAGCTGCGCCTGCCGCTGGGCACCACCGGCTTCCGCATCACGCTGGCGCTCTCCGCCCCGCTGCTGTACTGCCTGCTGCGGGCCATCGGCACCGAGGGCGCCGGGCAGCTGCTCCTGCCGCCGCAGCCGCCCCCGCAGCACCGCGCCGCCGCCGCTTTCCTCGCCACCTGCCTCGACCTCCTCGACAGCTTCTCCCTGCTGGAGCTGGTGCTGCAGCCCGGGCGGCCGGCGCCGCTGCCTGCCCCGCTGCGCTACCTCCTCATCGCCGTCTACTTCCTCTGCCTGGCCTCGCCGGTGCTGTGGCTGTACGAGCTCAGCGCCGCCCGCCCCCCCGGCGCCGCTCGCCTCGCCCTCCACCTCCTGCTGCCCGCCGGGCTGCTGGACGCCCCGCTCCTGGCTCTGCGCTGCCTCCTGCTTCTGCGCTACCAGCAGCCGCTCTCCCTTTTCATGCTGAAGAACCTCTTCTTCCTGGCCTGCCGCGGCCTGGAGGCGCTGGAGACCTGCTGCCTCCTCCGCCCCGCCGCCGCCCCGCCGCCCGTCAAGTACGGTCCCGGCGCTGCCGCTCCCGCCGCCGCCGCCCCGCTGGCCCACGGGCTCTCGGACGCCGACGTGGGGCCCCACGGGTACGTGAACGCCTTGGCGGTCACCGCGCAGGGCTGAGCCTCCCCCGGGCCGCCTCCCCCCCCGCAGTGTCGCTGCGGTCCTGCTCAGGTTCCCGCAGCCGCGGCCGAGCAGGGGAAGGGGTCGCGGGCTGCCCCGCCGGGCTCTCGCTCTCCTCCCTGTCCCGCGGACACATCCAGCAGCGGAAGCTCAGCGAAAACCCGACTGCGTGCACGGGCCTACGGCTGGCGCTTGTCCCTGGAGAACACACCTGCCCTTCACGTCGAGTCCTCCCCCCAGTGCTCCTGCCCCTCCGTGCTGTTCGGGGGATCCCGCTCTTCCCCTCCCGCTCCCCACCAGGACATCGCGCTGCTTTGTGACCATAAAAGTTTAGTTTTTCCTTTCCCTCCTACACAACAAACAGGGACCAAATGGTGGATTTTGTCCCCTTCGTTAAGAACTCCTGCTGACCACAACAAGATGCGAGAGGGCCCTGGCCAGCAGGGACGTGCCTTTGGGGTGCGGGCAGGGCAAAAGGAAGCTCGCTTTGGTTTCACTAGGTCTTGCAAAGCTGCTGCCTCTGTTTGCTAGCAGCATAGAGTGTCCCAGCTGGAGCACCTCTGGGAGCATGCCAGCTAGCTGGTCATTTCAAGCCTGGGAGCCACTTTCTCCAAGCCAAAACCGTCTACCTCTGTGCTTCAACCTTTTGCATCTGACGTTGACTTCACATGCTAAAGAAACACGCAAATCCAGCATGGACATAATACAGGGGCTTAGGCTCCATTTCACTACCACCGAGACATTTACTTTTGGTGAGAACAGGGTTTACAGCAGCCTATTGCTTGCTTCAGCCAGCAGCACCCAGGTGCTGGGGCTCTCATTTCTGTGAATATGCATGTTTATGGGATTAGCATTGGTTTTCTTTTATGCAGAGTGTACTGTCTCCCTATCCATAAGCCAGGAAAGCCAGAAAGATTTCCTCTGGCCCCCTTCCATGTCTGCATGAGAGTGCAGAGACAGGGCTCAGCCTGCAAACTGCCCCATCCCAAACAGCAGAGCAGAGGATGCTGGTGCTGCTCAGGGTGGGCACAAGGTTTGGTGAGCCTTGCACTTCAGTGCAGAAAGCAAGGACACCCAAGCTTTGGTGAAAGCCCGTGTACCAGCATCCTGTCCTCCATGTGCATGTGGGTAAGGTTAGGTGGGGGAAAAGTTAATTGTTAGTAATCTCTCATAAAAATATGGTTATCTTTGGTTTTAAGCTCCATGAACGTTTGGTGGGGGTTAAAGCTTGCTCTTCTGTCTGGCTACAGCTGCTCCTGAAACCAGCTCAATGGAAGCTGGAGCACAGAGGCCACATTTGGAGGAAGCACTTTGCCCCTCTCTATATTTTGTTACCTGGGCAAGGCTGCATCCATTGGGAAAATGACAATTTCACACCCTGAGCCTCTTTTCGAGCTGTCCTGACAGGAAGGGGAAGTAAAGCACAACCAACTGCTACCCAGAGCTAGCAGCAGGACTGCAAGAACAGCCCAGACCTCTCCTGCACGCACCCATTCTTTCCTTCAGGGCTTGGGCTTCAGTGGGACCGAGCCTCTATCCCACTTCCCATTTCACAGGGTTGGATCAACTGCCTGCTCCGGTGTATTCCTACGACAAAATGTTTACAGTCTGGTGACTTCCAGCTCCCACAGGCAGAAGTGGGGGTGCTGTGGGCTTCTTCTCCCCCAGCTCCTGGTGGCTGATGAGTTTGGAGGAGCTAGAAAAGCCCCTGGGAAAGCTGGGGCAATAGTGCTTGTTCTGTTCAGAGCTGCAGCTATAGGACAGGTGACTCGCTGCTCTCCCCTTGCCAAATGGAGAGTTGGCAAAGGCCAGGCTTAACTTTCCCACCAGTGCTTTATTTTTAACCTGAGCCCTTACGTGGGCAATTATGTGAATTTTGGCCAGTGGCCTTTCTCTTCAGTAACTTCTTTTTGTCTGGACAATCTTGGTGCTGTGAGTGACTGTGATTGTAAAACTTGGTACTGTGAACTTTTCCTATGTGATGTGAGATGTGTCGAGGGGATGCTAAGTTCCTGACCGAAGGAGGTGTACTTGCAGGTAGATTTTGCTTGTACAGATATGTTTCCTTGCACCTTCCTTTTTCACCATTCAGACAGTTAAAGCTCAGCAAGAACTACAGTGTTATTCAGGAGAGAATGAGATGATACCTGTACCTAGGAGTACTCCATGCTTCAGTCAAACAGCTGAAGAAAACCCCCCAAAACCAAAAAACCAGCCAAACAACTTTGCCACAAACAAGGTGAAGGGTAAAAAAAAGCTATTCATCCTCAACTATGTTTTGCTGCTCCTATGGCTGAGGTCATGATAGCACAAAATTGATAATCCCTAATACACTGAAGTGTAAGCATAGTTGAGACACCACAAGGATCACAGCAGAATTATTGGGTCTTACTTCAGTACCCTTCCATAGCGCTTAACAAAGCTGCTGTTTCAACAGTGCCTTTTTCCAGTTAGGACATTATTGAGAAAATGGCGTATTTGAAGTTTATCTAGCCATGGCATACACAAACAATTGACAGGGACATCACAGTTCAGGTTTGTCCGTAGCTGCAAAGGTTGCCTGGGACAAATGGCCTTGCCAAATGATGCTTCTGTTGCATAGAATTCTTTTGTAGAAAGAGCAGATCGCTGTAGTGCCATGGTCTCTAGGTTGTTAGTGAACGTGCTGTTTGGAGAGTGTAAAGCTCTTGTAGTAGCTGGCAGTACAGAAGCCCCCTTGCAAGGAAAAGGGCAGCTCTGCTGCCACTTAGTTACTTACTAGAGAAATACTTAAAGCTCTTCAATGTCTTGTTTATAAGCCTGCTCCTCCTTTTGAATACCCTTCCCTTTGGTAATCGAGCTCTCGCCTCTGTTTAAACCCTTTGCCTCAATAATAGATCTGGTTGCAGAAGAGAGTAACAGTGGTACCATTAATGTGCAAACAATACCTCACCTGATGCACCTTGCACACCAACCATTTATCCTGCCAGCATTGAAATTATTGTTCCAGGTCAGTAAAACTTTGCCAAATGATGTTGTGCCATAACACCCCTTGGGATTCCATTACAAGCCTTTTAACACAACCAGCCATTTTGCATGTTACTGCTCTCTGTTTGCTATCCTGACAAAAGAGATGACTACTCCCAGGAGGAGAAATTGAAGTGAGAGAAGGCCTGTGGCCAGTGGACATTGGCATCCCCCTAGCATTAATCAGAACTTGTATTTTTTAAAAAGCAAGATTGTTAAAATAAAACTAGAAACTTGTGAGTGATTCTGTTCTTTATTTCCCTCCTTTGAGTCTTGCTGGGCTATTAAATTTTGCATTCAGGGACCAACAGATGCATTCAGATTACTTGATTTCCTCACTTTGGATCACCAAAATAGCATCCGGATTTTTCCCTTGAACTTCTTGCAAGTGAAAGCGAATTCTAAAAGCTGTATCACCACGGGAGTTATTTGAGAAGGGAATGACTAAGGCAAGAAAATCCAGATGACACTTCTGAGCTTCCTATTTAAATGATGTATAGGAATTCATACTACTTGAAAAAGGCTCATGGGAGAAAAACCATCAGATTTACATGTTAATTGCTGCAAGAGAAAAGAAACTGTAAGAAGTGGGATCATCAAGATGACAGTTACTCTGAGAATGGAGCTCTCGCTGGAGACACATTGAGATCACAGCTGCCCCTGGCTTAGCCTGTGGGGGGTTAGCTCCTGTACAGACAGCAAATGAAAGTGGCACCCAGTTTTCAGTTTGGATCTATGCAGGGACCATCCCTTTGTTTAGTCTTTCTAGGCATCTGGCTACAGAGACAGCAAGCTGACTGAACAGTCCTGCCCTGCACAGAAATGACAGACATTTCCCTTCTTTAACACCCATTTTGAAGGAGCATGCACTTCCTCACATGAGGGCCCTCAGATGTATTCAACTCAACTGGATACATCCACAACCCTTTGCAGGAATGCTTTGGCACTTGTCAGCCAGTTCAGTTCTGGCTCTCAGTTTTGCTTCAGGTTTCTGCAAGGAATACTAACAGGAGTTAGGTGGAACTGAGCACATAAAAGTGTTTGAGTAAATATATCCAAAAAATATTCTTGTTTTTTTATTTAAGCAATAAACCACAAGTTATAAACAAATAAAATTATAAAATACGCATAATAGAGATTATCTTCCGAGATACCAGATTTTTAAAAAGCTGAAATAAAAAGAGTCTTAAGAGTTTTTGACAAGTAAACTGGTAAGGACAGGATGATGAGAAGCTTGTCTGAAAGGAGAAAGGCCTAGATCTATTTACATCTCACAGGCTGCTACCCAGTGGGCTGAACTGCAGACACCGTGATAACAAACAGGGTAAACACCAGTCTCGACTAGTCCGCCACCCAGCCAGCATACATGGGCCAACATACAATCACTCACAGGTAACAAGCTTTAGTGGTGTATTGATCCCAATTTTTTAAAACCCCTGGAATTGATACAGTTACCATCACTGCTCCTGGAAGATGAACCCTTCCTCTATAAAGTAGTTCATAATGATTAACCTGAGATACCTGCGCTTGAATTTATACCCATATAAATACATTTTACATTCATTTTAGCTCAGCCTCCCCTAACTCAGTTACAATCTCCACTCAAAACAATCTGCTGCAGCTACACTTTTTTCTCCTCCAGAATGAGTCTTTCATTTCCTTAATTGTGTGTCACTACCCACATCTTCAGTTCGAGTCTTCCTGGTGCTAAGATATCCAAAGGCAAATAGCACTGCACCAGTGCGTTAGAGAATACACCAGATTCTTCTGATTCAATAACTATTCAGCCCGATTCTTCTTATAACTGTATACCTTATATAATTACATAAGAAGCCCAAATCCCAATTTCTGGTCCATTATCCCCTGCTTCTCCCCTTCCTCCTATTGCTGGTTTTCAGGCACATTCCTCCCAGTAGGGAGGTAGGAAGAGTTATGACAACTCCTAATTTAAAAGTTTATCCTGCTTACTGCTCAGTTACTGCATTTGGTTTCTGAATGGCTATGGAAGCACAGTTGCAAATGAACAAGTGGCAAAACTAAAAATCTCCAGATACATGTATCAAGCAGGTAGAGACAGCCCTAACCTGGCTAAAGTTTAAGGCACACATCTTTAACACAGTATATACAACAAACTATTTAAGATGTGTATTAAAATGGCAATGTAAATGTTGCCATGTTATCTAAAGCTATTTTCCAAACTCTGGCCACAACTTTTATCCAGTGCAATAGAACCAGCACAGCTGTAGGGCATTTTTAAGGCACAATTAGATGAGCCACTGCCATCCATTAGTGAGGATTCAATGTAATACATTTCCCCAAGGAACAGAACTACTGCCTGCTCTTTCACAGAGGTGGCTAGTATTTGTTGCTTCTCTCCAGCTATTGGAAGCACCATTACCAGTCTGCTGGGCAATCCTATCTCCTAGCAGCAGACAGGAAAATCCTACTAGTAAGTCATTTATGAGAACAAGGATGGTGCTGGAAATGCAGTTTCAGCATTATGGATGGTACCGCATTCCATTCTGGTACTTCAAATGGAGCAGGTTCCGGATAGAGCCTAACAGTCCTCCAAAGACTGGCCAATGTCCATCACCTCAGCTGGACACTCCCAGTCAGAGCTCCGTTGAATGTCCTGGAAAAACAGCTGCTGCTGGAGGCTCTTTAGACTGTTCAAGACCTCTGCAGAGAGTTCATGGAAGACCACCTGGTTTTCCTGATCCTCCTCTTCCTCTTCTTCCTCCTCCTCCTCCACAAGGTCATCAGGAGGCAAAGGAGAACATCTAGAGATGTAGCCTTGGTCTGACTGCACTGACTGTCTTTGGTCTTTGCATTGGTCACCAAAGATCAACTGGTGTTGCTTGTCAGCCTCCTCTTGGCAGAGAAATGGCTCTGAAGGAATGACACTCTGCTGGTAAAGAGAGTACATAAGTCCATTCAGATGGTGTCTCAAGTTGCCAGAGAGGTTTGCAGGACTCTGGTCATCTATTGCTGAAACTTCAGAGTCATCATGGAGGATGACGTTATTCCTCATTGGAATGCTTGTCTCCAGAAGAGGAACTCCTTCCATACAGTCCTCATTACTCAGCACTTGCTGGCCAAGTATATTTCTATCTTCCATGGAAGAGAGTGGCTCTACTACCTGAACTAGAGGAGCCTCATCCATAGGAAGGACAACAGTCTGAGAAGTCATATCCCCACACGGATTAAGCTGAGGTTGCAGCTTACAGCCTCCACTTTCACCTTCATGCATGTGGAGGTTGATGACATAGGAGCAGTTAGGGTCAGGCTCCCGTAGGTGCAGCTGGTGTTTCACAATTCCACCTGGTTCATTTAGCAAGGAATCCACCTGGCTCTCTCTGTTTAGGGACAGAGACTCTTCATCATTATCCAAGCAGATGGTTTCGCTCTCAAACCAGTCTGGGTGCTCAGTCTGCCAATTCTTGAACTTTTGTATTGCCTCTTTCAACTTCCTCCCACTAGGGGTATCGATGTAGTTATCAGCTGTGATTTCCTGGATTCGATGGATGCGCCCAGGTTCAAACTTCTCCAGATCCTGAATCCGAAAATAAATATCCTCAAACTTGTTCATCAGTTGGTACCTGGATGTGACATTGAACAGATCAGGTACATCTTTCTCACTACTTATTCCCTCAAAATAGCAGACAATATACATTCCAAAACAAGCTGGCTTCTTGAAATCTGGGAGGATCAGATTCAAGGCTGGGGTGAACAGGTCTCCCATTGGCTTTTGCTGATCCTGCTTGAGACACACAGGCTCACTCCCAAGCATGGCCTGCCATTTGGCTTGGGTGCCCCGTGAGCATAAGATGATGATCTTAGAAGACAGGTCTTCCATTTCCTTCTTCTGTCGAGTAAGCCAGGGTAATGGCCCTAACTCTGAGATCTGATGATCTTCCAGCAGATCTAAGGCCACAGCGGTACCACAGACTGTCATCAGAAACTCAGCAAACTTCAGCACCACATCCACATACAGCAGGTGATCAGCAGAGTACACAATCCAAACCTTTCGGGGCTTCAGTGGTGGCAGAGGAAGGTCAGTGTACGCTGCTGCTGCTGCAAGACAAAAAACGTGTTCATTTCAGCCACATTCCCAAAATTGTAATGGTACAAGTCAGCAGCAACTAACATAGGACAATATTAACAACAGATTATAGGAACTACCAGTTCTGAAGCTATTGTGGCATCATATGCAGGCAACATCTCACTGTACAAATTTAACATAAAAATCCAGACAGTGAAGATGTGATTTATAATAATGCCTGAATAGTTCATGGAATTTTACCACACAAAAACAACACACCAGATTCAAGAGGCTTGCAAATGTAGCTATATTCCCTGCTGGAGTGCCAAATGCACCCACCCCTAAACAATCTGATATTGCTATGGCTCAGATGATTAATAGAGTTTCTTTTGCCAGTACAGCATCAACTGCATCAAAAACCTTACCACTTTACAAAGCAACTATCTCCCATTAGGCAAACATGGCATTCCAGATTTCATATACAAAATCTGTTTTAGCTCAACAGGAAGATCCTAAGGCTACCGTTTGGTTATGAGAAGCACCTATAGAGTTGTAGAGCCTTTGAGAGCTCCTTCTGGACAACTGTGTGAGACTTCCAGAATGCATTACATGTGCTTGATTAAACACAGGCAGGACATCTTACCAGTTTGCAGGTTATTGTGATTGCATTTCCCTCGCCAGTGTCCTGGAAGAGAAAGTCACTGTCAGTTCTGAAAACATGAAATTAGATCATATCCTTAAAATGACAACACCTTCCAAACAGTAAGTTAAAAAACTCCCATAATCTTTAACTATGCAGGGATAAAACCATGGAGAGAGAGAAGCCTAATATATATATAAAAAAAAAGAATAAAGACTTTTCTACAGCAGATTTTGCTATGTACTTCACTACATTTTTACCAACCAGCAAGTGGCACAGTTCCAGTGTGATAACTGCTTCATGGTTGCAGCACAAAAGACTAGGAATTAGTCTTTAAGTACCCAATTTTCCAACCCACTCAATGTCAACCTCTGTGCCCTGTCTCCCTTCTTACATCTTAATTGAAAAACATTATTTAAGCTCAAAATAGCATAAAAATAAATTTCGTACAGATTTTGGGAGATGGGAAAGATTACAGCCTGGACAAATAGGAAGCTTCTGCCCTGCAGAATGCTTATGCAGTACAGGAGAAAAAGAAATTAAAGAGATATCTGTAGTAATC